GAGGCTGAAGGACAAAATTGAAATATGGGTCAGATTGCGGCCGCGATCCATTTCACAGTTAAAATAAAATTTAAAACTTTATTTAATGTTTTTGCTGGAAAGATCATAACAAAATCTACGAGCAGTCCAATTTTCAGCATTTTCCACGCATGCTTCAGAGCACAAAAAATCACTGAAGTTGGAGTACTTTTTCCTTGGCCCACACATGACTGAGTGCCAAAAATGGAAAATGTGCTGAATGTGCGCGACGATTATTTCGCAGTCTTAGTGATTTGTGAAAATGTTTCGGATATTTTTCCTGGAAAGAACACGACCTAATCTACGGATTCTCAATTTTTGGATTTTTCTGCGAATCCTTCTGTGCACAAAAAATCATCAAAGTTGCCTCTTGCAAATTGCGGGACTGGACCCACGGTACCCCTTTTAAGTATAGGGGCCTAGTGGAAGGCAACGTTCCCGCCCGTCCGCACCAGACCCTGCCTCAACGCCTGGGCCTGAGGGCATTGGCCCCTTTTCTTTTTGGGGTCCGCTTCCACCCGAGGACCGGTCCTTCCTTTTTCCAAAAGTCCAGGTTCTACCAAAGCTAGTTGTAGGTAGTCTGCAATTTTGCCAAGGACCGCTCGCCCAAAATTTTTTGCCCCCTAAGAACCCATTTTGCGTCCTGGTCGGCTGTCGATGAAAGTGCGACACCTAAGAACTCACTATACCGCAGCCTTAGGGCTGCAATTCTTCTTGTTTTTCTTCTTCTTCTTATTGTTATTTTTTTAATTGGACATCTTTATTAACAAGGCCCAATGACCAACGGCAAGTGCATAAATTACTCCTCTCTCCAAACTGAAATCACCCACCCTCCCCTCCCCTCCCCTTGAACGGTCAAACCATAAATTCGGTAGTGCAAGGAAAATGAGCAATAGCAAAATGACAGAATTCCAGATTGCAAAATCACACTAAAAGCCAGCTGTTAGTCGACAGCTGTCCAGAAAGCAGACATGCACTGATGTCATACCAAAGGAGAACCAAAGTAGCTACCTAGCTCAATTGTGACATCAGTGCAAGTCTGATTTCTGGACCAGGTATGTGGCCTCACATCACACTCTTGCCACCATAGGGGGGAAGAGCAATCGAAGCTCTTCCCCCTATAGGCGCTCAGCGCCCAGACTACGATCCAATGGGACCCAGTGGGACTGGGCCCAAGCTAGAAGCGGCCCTTAGGCCCAAATTTGTTTGACGTTACTTCATTTTCTTCTGTCTGTGCTTCGAAGTTTTACTCTTTGGTTAGAGCACTCGCTGCCGAAGGGATCTTGACTGCGACGTTTTGTGTACTTTTACCTCACAGTCCGTCGCTTGACCCGCACCTTATACACCACTCAATTCTCTATTGTTGCATGTCGTTACTCGTTGTGTGAATTTGTTTTACATCCATAAAACTGATTAGATTGGATTTGAGGGGATCTCGCATTCGGTCTGATCAGGCAGAGATGCTGGATCAAAACTCTTATCTGAATTAAAAAAAAAAAAAAAAATTGTTTACTCTCTAGTCTCAAATGTAATGCCGCTCCGGCTAGGAGTTCTACCTTCTCTCCTTTGAACTTTCCAGTTTGTTTCTTGTTTTGAGCGCATGTTTCGATGCCCGTCGAGACTCGTGGACAAAAAGAAGAGAGAGACCGAAGGGAGAGGGAGAGCACTTATCTTGAGGGACTTGCTGAGATGTTGGCGAGAAACACCGGTAGTTCTAACATGGAAAAAAACCTCTGTAGCCTAAAAAGCCCAATTGGAAGCAGCCGATGATGAGGACAAATCATTGTTCCAAGTCCTCTACGACAAGGCAGTGACAAAGGCTAAGAAGGCCAAGAAGGATAAGCGGAATGCCGCTATTACAGACCAAGAGGTTGTTTTCAAAAGTCCCCTCCTTGTCTGACATTGAGGTCAAGAAAGATCTGGTCGAACGTAAGGGCCCTCATATGGGCGGACTGGAGGAAGGCTAGCCGGGGCAGGAACAAAAGGAGCACCAAACTCTGGTTCTTCAGATCCTGGGGTGAGAGGGTGCGTATGTTGAGGTTGTTTGCTCGGGGTATTTGCATTGAGCCATGGCTGATGGGCCCGCGCCCGCCTTGAAGAGGGGAGAATTCCAATACAGTTCTTGGATAGCTCGAGAACAACATCCTCCACTGAAATCTTCCGGGACCAACCTGACGGACGTGATTGAGTCTGAGCTTTAGCAGGTCCAAAGGACCAGTTAGTCACTATTTTCTGGCACCTTGGGGTGAAGAGGTCTAGAAGACCTGCTGGAACTATTGTGTAGCAGAACTGACCACGAAAAAAATACGATTTTCCTTTTAAATTAAAAAAAAAAGAAAAAAAAGAAAGATTTGGTCAAGTATGTGCATGCTCTCATAGACCGTCACCTGCTCAGTGAACTTCCTGGTCAGATCTCTAAATTGTTTGACCAGGTAAGTAAATTGCAGACGCAGATTGCGGAGATGGCCAAGGAGCAGAGTGATCGGATGTGGCAGATGGCAAATTTGCATCAAGCCTAGATTCCTAACTCTCTTCCTCTACCTCCTGCCTCCAATGCTGCTAACCAATCTGTATTTGCTCCTCTCCATGCCTCTACTTCTTCTCTAAGTATGGTTCAGTTGGGACCTGCAGTAGGTGCAGACTCCGCTTTCGCTGCAACAAGTGATAGCGCAGGGACTTTTGCAACTGCTGCAGCCTCGAGTTTAGAGAAAACATTTGCTGGTCCCAATTATAGTAGTCCTTATATGGGCAGAAAGGCGGTAGAGTCCTGGATCAACTCCATGAGAACCTACTTCGAGGTGCTGGGACTTTTGAGCCAGTCCTTGATCATGGGGACAAACGTCGAACCTGCCGTGCGGGGCTTCTTAGAAGTCGAAGCTATGCAAGTCGGGTACACTAAGATAGATCTGACGCAGTGGCACCAAGCCACACAAGATCACACTTGAAGATATTATGGCTAAGCAATATAACGACACACATGCTGCTGCAAGAATCAGGAAATGGCTTGATGATCTCAAGCGCAGTAAGTGGTTGGGCAATTGTATGTTAGCAAACATTTTGCTACTCCTGGGTTGGAAATGACTGCACCGTCATGCTTGGATGTTGTGAAAGGTACAGTTCCCAGAACTTACACACATCACCTAGGCAAAGATCTCATTGGATATAGCGATTGACTTTCCCTTATGCAGGATGTAGTCAGCCCGGAGTCACAAGACCTCGTATCTACAGAAGGCAGCAAAAAGCCTACAGGCGGCCTTTGGTTTAGAGCCAGCATTTGCAGTGTGGCGAAATGACACACTTAAGAAACGCGTAGGACGCGCGTCTACCTTCTGTGTTTTTCAAATACTTAAGAAACGGCCTTTTGCTTTGTTGAAAGCTAAGCCACAAGAATAACAGCAAGAGAGCCAGCATCTGCCGTGTAGCGGAATGACACACACTTGTGATGATGTAATTGTTAACAAGCAGATCATGAAGTCGAGTCCTGATGGATTCAAGAACAACGTGAAGGGCTATCCTCATCACGCAAAACAAAAAGAAGGGCAAAACCCAGTGGGTCTATCTCAGTTGGTACAATCATGAACTGTTGAAAGACACCCAAATTTTTGAACCCAAATGCAACCAGATGGACAGAATATACCTTTCTTGGTGAAAAAAAAAGAAAAAAAAGAAGAGGTAAAAAAGATCAACAAGTGAAGCAGCAACAAACAAGAGGAGGAGCAGCAGCAGCAACAACAAACAACAACAGGAATAGCAACAGCAACAGACAACAGCAGGAATAACAGCAGTAGAACCAGCAGCAAAGAATAGCAGGCGCAGAAGCAGCAACAAACAACAGCAGGAATAGCAACAGTGGCAGCAAACAACAGCTCCAGAAATAGCCGCAGCAGCAGCAGCAGCAGCAAAGAATAGCAGGAGTAGAANCAAACAACAGCAGGAATAGCAACAGTGGCAGCAAACAACAGCTCCAGAAATAGCCGCAGCAGCAGCAGCAGCAGCAAAGAATAGCAGGAGTAGAAGCAGCAGCAAACAACAGCAGGAATAGCAACAGCGGCAGCAAATAACAGCAGGAATAGCAACAGCACCAAACAAACAGCAGGAATAGCAACGGCAGCAAACAACCGCAGGAATAGCAGAGCAGCAAATAACAACAGGAATAGCAACATCAACAAACAACAGCAGGAATAGCAGCAGCAAAGAATAGCAGTAGCAGAAGCAGCAGCAAACAACAGCAGGAATAGCAACAACGGCAGCAAACAACAGCAGGAATAGCAACAGCGGCAGCAAACAACAGCAGGAATAGTAACAACACCCAACAAACAGCAGGAATAGCAACGGCAGCAAACAACCACAGGAATAGCAGAGCAGCAAATAACAGCAGGAATAGCAACATCAGCAAACAACAGCAGGAATAGCAGCAGCAAAGAATAGCAGTAGCAGAAGCAGCAGCAAACAACAGCAGGAATAGCAACAG